TACTTTGTAATATCAATTGGAGTACCGGATTCATCTTGATCAACATATGTACCGGAGCCCATTGGAGTATTCATGGCTTTACAATTGTCCATATCAAACTTTTTCAATAATTCTTTGCAATACTTAGATTGGTTGATGAAGATTCCATCTTTTAGTTGCTTGATTTGTAGTCCAAGAAAGTAGTTCATCTTTCCCATCATAGACATCTCGAATTCTCCTTGCATCATCAATGAGAATTCCTCACACATTTCTTTGTTAGTCGATCCAAAAATGATATCATCAACATAGACTTGAACCAATAAAGTGTTACTTTGGATTTTCTTAATGAACAAGGTTTTTTCAACCTTACCCTTTTCGAAACCTTTTTCACACAAAAAATTGCTAAGTCTATCATACCATGCTCTTGGTGCTTGCTTTAAGCCATAAAGAGCCTTTCTCAACTTAAAGACATGTGAAGGATGTTTGAAGTCTTCAAATCCCGGGGGTTGTTTGACATAGACTTCTTCATTGGTGTATCCATTCAAGAATGCGCTTTTGACGTCCATTTGGAAAAGCTGAAAATTTAATGAACAAGCATAAGCAAGTAAAAGACGTATAGCTTCTAACCTTGCAACCAGAGCAAATGTTTCTTCGAAGTCGATTCCTTCCTCTTGATTGTAACCTTGGGCAACCAACCTTGCTTTGTTTCGAACAATTAGACCATTCTCATCAAGTTTGTTCTTAAACACCCATCGAGTACCTATGATGTGTTTACCACTTGGTCTAGGAACAAGTTCCCAAACTTGATTTCTCTCGAATTGATTTAATTCTTCTTGCATAGCAATAATCCATTGATCATCTCCTAAGGCTTCATCAACTTTAGTAGGTTCAATTTGAGAAACAAACGCCATGTTTAAGCAAGCATCTTTTAGATTCAATCTTGTTGATACTCCTTGGCTAATGTCACCAATAATTTTGTCAATAGGATGGTCTCTATGAGTTCTCCATTCTTTTGGTAGATCATTGGTGTTTGAATCTTGTTGTACAATGTTTTCTTGATTTTCCGGTGATTTCTTAATTTGATCAATTGAAAGATCTTCTGGGGGTAAATCTATAGGATCATCATCATCACAAACAACTACTTCCTCCTTGGAGGGGTTAGTTTCATCAAAAGATACATGCATAGATTCTTCAATAGTTAAAGTTCTTTTATTATAAATTCTATATGCTTTACTAGAAAGCGAATAACCAAGAAATATACCTTCGTCGGATTTCTCGTCAAACTTACCAAGATTATCTTTGTCATTATTAAGAACAAAGCACTTGCATCCAAAAATGTGAAAGTGAGCAATATTTGGCTTTCTTCCTTTGAAGAGTTCATATGGAGTCTTCTTTATTATAGGTCTAATGATAACTCGATTTCCAACATAACATGCCGTACTAACCGCATCTCCGAAGCTTTTTGTTCTTGATGGACCAAAGAGATCCATGTGTAACAATTGTAGTGGCCTTGTAGTAGACACCACATTCTTAGATTTGAAAGTTGTTTTGGTCTGTTTTCCCTTTTGGCATGCATTACATAATTTGTCTTTGATGAACTTCATCTTTGGTAGACCAATAACTAAGTCATGCTTAACCAATTTGTTCAAGTGCTCCATGTGAATGTGAGCGATCCTCTTGTGCCATAACCAAGCGTCATTGTTGTTTACCATAAGACATTGTACCTTCAGAGACAAATCATCTAAAGTAATCATAAAAATATTGTTAGTTCTTATACCTTTGAGTTTTACCTTATTGGTTGCCTCATCCATAATGAGACATTCATCTTTGTTGAATTTGATCTTGAACCCTCTATCGCAAAGTTGACTTATGCTAAGAAGATTGTGCTTTAATCCTTCAACATAGAGAACATCCTCAATTTGAATGGATGGAGGTGTGCCAACTATTCCAACGCCAAGAATCTTTCCTTTGGTGTTGTCTCCATAGGTGACATACCCTTTGGCTTTATGTACTAGATATGAAAATTGGTGTACATCTCCTGTCATATGCTTTGAACATCCACTATCAAGATACCAAACATTTGATGTGGATTTCAAGCATACCTATTCTTCATCGTCAGAGTGATGTGAAGCCATTAATGCTAGATTTGCACATTCCTCGCTTTCCGAATCAGATGAAGAACTTATCTCATTATCTTCCCATGCAACATAAGCCTTTTTGTTCTTGAACTCCTTTTTGCCTTTGAATCCATTTTTCTTGGAGAGTTTTGGACAATCCGGCTTTATGTGACCTTGCTTTCCACATTCATAACATGTGACATCTTGTGTTGATGTGGAGGCTTCTTTATCTTTATGATTATAAAATTTCTTCCTCTTGACAAAGTTAGCATTATGAAGATTATTTTTATGACCAAAATATTTTCCTAACCTTTTTACAAGAAGCAAGAAGTTTTCATCTTCCTCCGATGCATCTTTATCTTGACTTTCCTTTGAATCAACTTTCAAGGCAATGCCTTTGGATTTCTTCTCTAAATTTTCATGTTTTTCAAGTCTACCGAGTTCCGTTTCATATTCTTGAAGTTTGCCAAATAATGTAGCGGAAGTCATTGCGGAGAGACTCTTCTTTTCTGAGATTGCCGTTACCTTTGGTTGCCATTCCCTAGTCAATGATCTAAGGATTTTCAAGTTGAGTTCATCATTTGTCAAGGTTTTACCAAGAGCATTTAAGTGATTTTTCAAATGCACAAATCTCTTTTGTAAGTCAAGAATGGATTCTCCGGGCTGCATTCGAAATAGTTCATATTCTTGACTCAGGGTATTTAGCCTTGATCTTTTTACATCAGCCGTTCCTTCATGAGTTTGAACCAGGGTATCCCATATTTCTTTTGCTGTCTTGCAGTTTGAGACACGGAAAAAATTCGTCCATACTGAGTGCACCTTGAAGAAGGTTTATTGCCTTTTTGTCATAGAGAACTTTCTTTTTATCATCGTCGTCCCATGCAGTTTTGGGCTTTGCAGAACCAATGCCATTTATTACTGATATCGGGATAAATGGACCATTTTCAACAGCATCCCATACTTCCTCTCCTTGTGCTTCTAAATGCGCCTTCATGCGTATTTTCCAGAAGTCAAAATATTCACCACAGAATAGAGGAGGCTTGTTGTTACTACCACCATCTCTGAAAACTGGTTGATGATTTGCGGAAGCCATTCTGGATCTTTAGGAACAAGTTACCTATAACTTGCTCTGATGCCAATTGTAAGTCTCAGAGTGCCTAAGAGGGGGGGGGGGATGAATTAGGTCTTATAAAAATTTATTCGGTTTTATGAGAATGCTTGGTGGTAATTTTTGGTTAAGTGTTTGAAGGTTTTGATTATATCTTTATCTTTTCCTGATTATGGTGATGAAAGCGATAAATGCGGAAAAGTAAAGCATACGGTGATATATCCTGGTTCCCCTCACAATCCGAGAGTACTCCAGTCCCCTTTCCAACACGAAAGAGATTTCACTATAGTTAGAATGATTGTACAACCTATGCTTACTATCTAACCTATAGGGTGATCAAAGGTTCTTAACACCTTTAAGACCAAACAAACACTAATGTGAATGAAGAACAATCCTCTTCAAATCACAACACTTACTTCCAACAATCCTGGATAGTAAGGGAAAACCTTTAAGTAATACAATGATTAATTTTGAAGTATATGGAGAGCTTTATCAATCTTCAATTGATCTTCTTCTTCAAGATAAAAACAATTCTCAACAATGTATATAAATGTTCACAATGTATGTATGAAACTTGTAATGATAATGAAAGTGTATATGGCAAGTTTCACAAAATTATGAACACATGAAAGTTTAAGTGCAATTTAAATGAATGAGAAAATTGTTAATATGAAGAAGGTTTTTTATTGTTTGAAAATGTTATATGTGTTCTTGTTTAAAAACTGAAAAAATCTGCATTTTATAAAGTCATAAGAACCTCTTCATTCATGCCAATTCATATGAAAAGTTGCAATGCATTCATGAAAAGATACCACTTGAAAAATGTTCAAAAAACAAAATAAAAGTTGCACTGGTTCGCTAGGAACCGGTTCCGACACTGACAAAACCCGGATCTTAGTGAACGTTATAAGTTAGAATTCAAAAATATCACACAGGAACCGGTTCCCCTATTGGTACAACCCGGTTCCTGGTACAAAAACCATGAACATGTTTTTTGAGAAATTCTGGAACCCGGTTCCCTGTTAGGGAGGAACCGGTTCCTAAAGGGTTATTTTCAAAAATACTTTTTGAAAGATATTTCAAGCAAAGTTTTCTTGATGTTAAAGTTATGGAATATGTATATGTTGATGAATGCATATTGTGAACATCTATATTCAAGATTTTAAGAATTATTTATACCATTTGACATTTGATGATTCTTCAATAATTCTTCAATAATCTTCAAGACTTTTATTTGATGTTGATAAGCTTTTTGCACATCCTTTGAATGTTGATGTCCATGTTGTCTTCATCAAAACACATGCTTTAAATATGACTTGAGAAGCTTGCAGTTACAATTACCGGGTTCTGGGAGACCACTGATTAATCTGTTTTTTTTAATCAGTATTTTTTTATGTAATACTTATGGGTGTAATCATTTTTTGTAAATAAAAAATCAATTTTATTGATCCTATATCGAATACGCAACGCACCGGATTAAAAAAAAAGCGAAAATTGCTCTAGAAATGCACTAAGGCGCCATCTCACTTGGCTTAGGGAAAACCCTAAGCACCTAGGCGCCAAGTGAGATGGCGCCTCCCCTTAAATAATAGGTGTAGGCGCCAAGTGAGATGACTCCTCCTTTGGAGAGTCATCTGAAACATGATTATTTGCGTAATTTTTTCCGAAATATGGTTATTTGCGAAATATTTTTTTTAATACCTAATTATTGCAAAAAAAAAAATTTATTTTTCATATGACAAATTATTATAATTATTTTGTCACACATATTACAATATTAACTCTACATTCATATTTCAATGAGCAGTACAAATAGGAGTTCCATCTGTTTCGTGAATTGTACAACCAGATGATGCAAGGCAACAATTGCATGGTGGATCGAGGTGTTCATCTCCTGAAGAAGGACAAGTCATGTATGCAGCTGAATCGTAGCAAAATTCCGGGCAAGCATCAACAATATTTAGATTTCCTCCCGAAAGAATTGCACCTCAAACATAAACAAGAAAAATGTATTTTATAATTTGAGTAAACTAATTAATCTATTCTAGTGGAAACAAAAAGAAACTAATGCATTTTGTTGAAAGTAGATTGATGAGTTTAGAGATTTACTGAAAACGAAGATAAGAAGGATAGTATCAACCGTTAAAACCATGTTTCTGATTTGCATTACTAGTCAAACCTCTCTCATATTTATAGTATACAAAAAGAACTTTCTTCATCCTAAAGTATATTTCAAATAAATAAAAAAAGTTTATTGCAATTGTTACTTTATAATATCAACACAATAATCTTGTTTGATCTATTATACCTTTTATTATTAATTATTGTCTCTTTTCATTATTTTAATTTATTTTTTCATGTTTTATTGAGAATAATATTGTAAAGTAATATATATATATATATATATATATATATATATATATATATATATATATATATATATATATATATATATATATATATATATATATATATATATATATATATATATATATATATATATATATATATATATATATATATATATATATATATATATATATATATATATATATATAATTTTTTATATAAAATTAATTGTTTTTATATGCGATTATTATTGTGACAAATGTTCTGAGATCATAAAATAAAAGCATACGTGCTTCAAAGAAAAGGAATTATTTTGGTCGACTTATTATCAAATAGTCATTGTTCATTTATTTTAAAAGTATGATTTGTCACATGGATCCTTATCCAATTGATTGGTTGGGGGATCCTTTTTAATTATTTATTTATTTTTTGGTTGAAAGGATCCTTTTTTAACTCTAAAAGTATATTAAATAGTTTATTTGGAGAGAAATAAATACAAAAAGTAGTTACTCGATCTCACCGTAAAGCAGACTCCACTATCATTAATTATTTTTAATTTTTTAAAATTATTTTTATCTCTCTATCGATATTTTAAAAATGAAATTGAATCGATTGATTTTAATCGGTTGGATTGGGAATTGATCTGGATTGAGCCTACACTTGCCCTTCGAACGAGAAGTCCAAAAATAGTCCAAGTTAGAGACCGTTGGACAACTCTTCATCCGACCGTTGGAGGACGTGGCCCACGATCCCACGACATCCATCTTAAACTGTCCTCCGGAAATCATGGGTCCAACCCTATTCTCGCAGAGCAGTTGACCAGGGGGAAGGTTACTTGCTGGGCTCCATACACACATAAGCCCTGATAGTTCTTGTTATTGGGCCTCAACGTGACCCAAGAGTGGGAACCTTTGCCCAGCACTGTGGGCTATAAATACCCTCTCTCGAGAGAGGGTCAGGTATTCAATTCATCTCTCTAAACTCATACTTGTTTGCTCATTCCGCAACTTACTTTGCCATCAGAGTGTCTTGCAGGTACCCCCATCTCATTCAACTTCTGCCCGAGCCAGCCGTGACGGTCCATTTCTGATCTGGTAAGGTCAGTGGTGCCGTCTGTGGGAAACTTGCTTCCCCGTCTTCTATTCACTTGAGACCAAAGCTAAATAATCCCCGACTGTCATGGCTGACCAGACTCCAGACAACATGAACGTTTGTATCATCGACGTCAATAACAACACCGCCGGCCTCGATAATGCCGGTACCGTCGGCCACAACACAGCCCCCAACGTCAATATGCTCGGGCCTTCTGACTACAGAGACGAAGCAACTGCTTCGTCATCATCTCTGTCTCGTCGACTTGAAGATGATCGGCCAACTCCCTAGAACTACCAACACGTCCAGTTCCACGAGGTCTCTGTCCCCGCCAAGGCAGATGCTACGACCAGGGAACTGTTCGCGGCAATCAATCAAACCAACTACCTAATCTTCGCCCAGGGAGAAAGACTGAGGGAACTCGAAGACGATCGAAGGCCCCCAAAAAGAAACAGGAGACCTCAATCTCCTCCTCCTCGACAAGCAGAGGAACATCCCCAATGTCCCCCGTGAAGACATAGTCGGGACATCTCTCGAAGCCTGTCTCCCCGACCAATTGGGCGACGACCCCCTTGGAGAGGGATCAACTCGTTGATGCGGGGAGGCGCGACCACAACCCCTCGCGTCAAGACCCCCTGGAGACAAGAACGAGGGAAACCACCAACGATCATACTGCCTAAGAACCGCTCTGCGCGACCAGGGCCACCGTGACCGCCATTACATCAGATCTCCGTCTCGCTCGCCCGAATAGAGTGACGAGGACGACCCACGCGGTCCCTTGTCACAAGCTATCATGGAGGCACCCATTCCCCCGGGCAAGGAGAATCCTCCCCACCTGAAGGAATACGACGGTATCGCTGACCCGGTCGACCATATAGACGTGTATAAAGCCATGCTGCACTATCACAACGTCGGGGGACCGATCAAATTCCAATTGTTCCCCACGACTTTGAGGAAAGCTGCGATGGACTGGTACAAAGGTCTCTCCCCGGGGTCAATTACCTCTTGGCGAAATCTGAAGAACCAATTCATCAGTTCATTCACTGCTTCGCGACGACACCCGAAGACCGAAGAAGCCCTCGAGGCCATCCTCCAGAGACACGATGAGACCCTGAGGGAATTCATTAACTGGTTGAACCGGGAGGCCATCCAGGTCCCCTGTAAGGACCACATGAAAAGATACATGCTCGAGAGGGGACTCCTCCCGGGCATTGAATTCAGAAAGGTTGTAGGCATCGAACCACCCCGGACATTCGATGCCCTCCTCGAGAAGGCCAGAGCTTATATGGACTACAAGGAGAGAGAAGCGGCCAACTGAGCCCGGGATCCCAAGAATCGCGAATCTACCAGTAATCTGCGACAAGACACCGCCCTCCTCGACAAACTGGCGAGAAGAGAAGGAACGACAAACCTCGAGACGCCCGGGAACAAAGGGGCCCCCCAGGGAGGTTCACTGAGTACACTCCACTAATGACTTCCCACGAGTGCATCTTAGCGGAGCGTGCAAATACATACTTCAATGACGGCGGCGTCAAGCGTCCTCGCCCCGCTCCTGCTAAACCCGGGGTAGATTGAAGCAATTACTTCCAGTATCACCGGAGCCACGGGCACTTGACCGAAGATTGTGTCCATCTCAAGGATGCCGTCGAGACCCTCATAAAAGGGGGGAGACTCGCGCAATATCAGCTAGGCGACGCCCCTCATCGAGACTCCTGTGAGACAAGGGAAGTAGAAGAGGATGCCCGATCATCTGACGAGTGAGTCCCTATCCAAACCGCATTCTCCGTCACGAGATCGGAGGACTTCTACATCCCCGAACATGTACAAGAGCCTCTGTCTATGCACAGCAGGTGGGAAAACTTCCCATTCGCCATGGTCATCAATGGTGGAGGGTTTAATGATTTGACCATAAATTCAGCAAAGAGGAAGCTGGACGAACTGGTCGACACGGCTCCTCCGCAAACGGTGACCTTTGAGAAGGTGAAAGGCAGATAAGAGCCGATCAACTTTTACCTCGAGGAGCTTCCCGAAGGGGACCCCAATTCAGCCATCCCTCTTCTGATAAGGGCGAGAATGGCCAACTTCAACGTCCATCGCATCTTGGTCGACGAGGGAAGTTCCGTCGACGTGATGTACAACCAGTTGTTCAGAACCCTGCAGCTCGATGACTCTCACCTTTCACCATACATGGGATCAGACCTGCAGGGCTTTAATGGCTAGACCTCCAAGTCGTGGGGGTACGTGGAGCTTATGGTCACCTTCAGCAAAGATACCTCTACCAAGCAGGTCAAGATGCGCTTCCTCGTCACCGACTGCCCATCCCTCTACAATTGTATCCTCGGGAGACCGACACTGGCAGAGCTGGCCGCGGTGCCCTCCACCGTCCACCTAAAGATGAGTTCTACACCAAGAGGGCATGAGTCGCCACCATTCAAGGGGACCAAGCAGCAGCCCGAAGATGCTTCAACATGGTGGCCAAGGGACACAACACAGTCGACACCAGGACACGGCCCGCCAAGAAAGCTGCAATTGCGCGACCAGAGCCTCAGCAGTCAGAGCCATAACCCGTTAGAGTAGAGGAACAGAGGGCCCCTCCAAAGGTTGACTCTATCTCGCTGGACACTTGCTTCGACCAAGACGAGCTCTCCAATGGAGAGTAGGTGCACCTCCGACCAATTCCAGATGGGGACTTTGAGCTCATCCCTCACGGTGAAGACCCAAGCAGAGGGATGAAGATTGGCACTGGACTCCCCGACTTAGCAAGAAAGTAGATTAAGGTCTGCTTGAGGGAGAACACGGATCTGTTCGCACAAAGTGCTGGGGAGATGCCCGGTTTCGACCTTGAGGTCGCTTGTCATCAACTCGCCATCAATCCAGCCGTTAGGGCAGTAGTACAACATAGGCGTAGGCAGTCTCCCGAGAAAGTGGAGGCTGCTGAAAAAGCTGTAAAAGATCTCCTAGAGGCAAATTTTATTTCTGAAGCCCGTTATTTAACCTGGCTGTCAAATGTTGTACTTGTTAAGAAAAATAATGGAAAATGGCGAATGTGTGTTGACTATACCAATCTTAACCGGGCATGCCCCAAAGATGAATTTCCCTTACCTAATATTGACATGTTGGTCGATAATTCGGTCAACTATAAAATTTTATTGTTTATGGACGCCTATTCGGGCTACAACCAAATCCCAATGGCAATAAGAGACAAACACTCCACCGCTTTCATAACCAGCTCAGGCAACTATTACTACAACGTAATGCCATTCAGTCTGAAAAACGTAGGAGCAATGTATCAGCGGATAATGAACAAAGTCTTCCGCAACCAAATTGGAGATATGCTCGAGGTATACATGGACGACATGATCGTCAATTCCCGAGTAGACACCGACCATTCCGCTCATCTCAGGGAAGTCTTTGCCCAAGAAAGGCAATGTAGAATAAGGTTTAACCCCGAGAAGTGCACGTTCGGGGTCAAGGAGGGCAAGTTCCTTGGATTCTACTTAACAGAACAAGGAATTGAAGCCAACCCCGACAAGTTCCGAGCTTTCTATGACCTCCCTACACCCACGTCAAAAAAATCCATACAAGTCTTGAATGGCATGCTCTCTTCACTCTCCCGTTTCGTTGCAAAATCCGCTCAACATGCCATGCCTTTCTTCAAACTTCTTCGCAAGGAGGCGACTTTCGAGTGGACCGAAGAATGCAAACAGAACC